ATACAACTGCACAAGATTGTTAGAAACCCATTTAATGAGAACGATATTACACTAGTGTAATAACACTCATTTAGTGTAATAAACACTTTAATGTGACATCATTTGCACTACAAACATTAAGCCTTAATTAAAGACCATTAATTTTAGAGTAACAATATAAACGTGTAAATGAAAAATGACTCCTTTAGCTGTAAAAACATTCATATTTTAGATATGTTATAAATTGTGTAGACTCAATACTAAATTTAATGAACTGGTTGAAAAAAAAACAACAAACAATATTATGCTTGCCAAAGACTCGCATATGATTTTATTTAACTTGTTCAATAAATTTAGTATTCAATCTAGATTCATTCAATATCCTTTGTGTGTTTAATATGATTAGTTACAGTAAAAACATTTATTGTATCATTATTTTTTTTTAACCTAACAGAAAATTTTGAATATAATAACAAATTTTAAATATCTTCTTTCTCAAACACCATAATGCATAAATCTATTTACATCGTGTATTATTTTCATAGAATTTTATCAAATCATTTATGAAAATATTCATGTATACACAATGTATATATTTGCTAATAATTTTATTTATTTGCAGTAACTTACAAAATGATAAGAAATGTCTTACTGAATAACATATGAATTACAAGGCAGAGAACATCTATCTTCAAATCGTGCCGATATACGAGACAACAGTTTCATCTTTCTGTATGCATCTTCCAGGCCTGGATGGGCTGACATCTGTGGACTATCAGAGTTTGCAGCCAGTGCCAGTCCATCAGTGCTACGACTTACTATAGCAAAGTATATCATGCTTACTTATAAATCATTTCCCTGTAAAAACAAATGTAACAGTGACAGTCATTTTCTCTTAAACTAAAAACAAAGCTGTAAGAATAATTTATGTTTTACTACTATGCAGGGCTGCAGATCAGGCCAAAGTAAATCAATAAACTGTAAAAAAAATTGTATCTATAGATACAAATGGGAAAACAGTAATGATATCCCTTGATATTTTGTACATAAATAAAACAAAAGTAAAACTCTATTAAAGGAGCTCCACTGAGGAAAAAACTTTTTTTGTCCAATTTTAATGAAAAGTGTGGCAAAGGTTTTCAGTCTCTCAGTCATTTTGTACAAAAAGAGGGCCATGATGGCCCTCAATTGCTCACCTAAGATACATCAATACAAAAGTCAAAATGTCAGTAATAAGGACATTGGGATTGTCATTTTTTAAAAGCATCATATATTTCTATATATTATTTCTAGATGTTTGCTATCAAATGATTCATGAAAATTATCTAAACTCTTGACACTGTCACTTCACACAACTAACTTCTAAGCTCTGAGTATTCTTGTTTCACAAATAAGACTTGTATGTATTTTCCTATACAAGCCAGCTGACAGAGTACATGTTCCAGGCAGGATCCCTCATGGAAAGAGTACATGAATTTAAACTTCTTGTTTTATATCCTGGATGCCAGGAGATATTATGATAGCAGTGGCTGAAGATGTTCCAAAACATTTATTTAGGATACACCCTCATGAGTTGCCAGTGAAATGACTATAAGGAGAAAGTCATTGGGGTGAGTGATGCTCAGTATGTGTATCCTCTAAAATGTATGAGTTGTACTCCAGATATGATCGTTGGGTCACGTCCCAAGTTGCCGAGACCAGAGTGACATCTTGGAGGGAAATTATCCAATTGTCACTGGTAATTATGCAGAGGTGGGTTTATACAGCATTCATTTTAGTTCAATTATGTAGGAAGCCAATTATGTAGGAAGCTTATAGACACCCTTTCGAATCCGTTCAAAGAACCAATGAGTACTGAGCAATGTGTGTAAAGTTTCTTGCTCAATGAAACAATGACTTGCCCCTGACAGGGTTTGAACCACTAGATTACAAGTTCAACATGTTAACCACTCGGCCATGCGCAGAGGTTGTACATTAAAAGGAAACTGCCGCTCTCAATGGGCAAGTCTGATTAAGCCAGAGGTGCTTTACTTTGGGATCAATGACTAGACTAGAGGCGTGGAAATATCTTAAATTAAAATGTTTTGTTGGTATAGGACATATGATCCTAAAACTGTTTATTGGTAGTATAGGCTGCTTAATGACAGACACAGAGGGAGTATCATAACTAAAGTGCTATTTGATAAAGCAAGTAGTTGCGAAACCGGTACTGATTAGAACAAGGAAGGTCATCAGAAATATAAGCCTGCTAATTTGTCAGAGTAGACGAAGTAACACCTTCAAATAGGACCAGAGTGTAGTACTAAAAGACCTTGGTACGAGATAGTAGAGTATGTGAGTATATGTTTCATAATCTTTGATTGGATGTGACCCATGACCTGATGACAGAAAAGGGCCCAAAGCCAAAGTGAAACTTTGCAGAGCTCTGTGTGATTCCTCTACAAGCTGCCATTGGTGCTGTACACAACACTGAATAGGTGAAACTAATCCGTCCATTATCAAGACATATTAGTGTATCCGGATCTGATATCTTGATTTTATCAAAGTAGGTAAGTCATTTACTTTATCTTGCAAGATTCAACAGCAGAAACTAAAAATTCAATTATTATTGATATCGCGAAAACCAGTAACCACACTATAGAATAGGCGATTCCTAACATATTTTATCACAAAAACATATAAGAATCCATTAACTTCTCAAAAACATTTCATTCAATGTGAAAACATAAAGTTATTTACCATGGACATGTAAGAATTAAGTCAAAAGCTATGGAAGAAAGTTCTACAAAGTTTTGACAAGTAGCAAATTTTACGACTATTGTAAAACAAAACATGAAATCAAGAGTTCCTACAATGATACAATAGAAGACAAAGCATTGCTCAAATTAATATGAACGTTATCATTTTTCATTCGGAAAATATTTAACATATGTTTACTTTTACGACATTTGCAAGCGGTGTCAGTGCTAATTGTTACTGATGCAGTTGTTCCGTAAATCGGTTTCAGCATTTCGGGTACTCTTCGGCGGAAACATACGTAAGTAATGACTTTTTTGTTGCAGTGATACGATAAATATGCATTCCATTATAGTTTTTGCATAACTGATATTTAAAATGAGTATGTCATAGAAGATAAAACGATTTGAAGTATGTTCTTAGTGAGTGAAGGAGGTAAGTTTCTACCCGTATCTTTAGTCCTAGGTTATACATGTGTTCTAGATCTTGTTCTGTCTGCTGGTCAAATTGTTCTAGATTATGTTCTATCTACTTGTTATTTACATATTTATTGTGATAGTTCCAGTGGTAAGGTACTCCTTTTTATTTTATCCAATCATCATAGATAAAATTGATTGGTAATTGAATCTTACAATGCAAATATCTGAATACATGCTTGTATTTCAATTTTCCATTTAGAGTGGTTGGACCAATGCTCGGCGCATACCAATGCTCGGCGTAAAAAAATTTTTTTTTAGAATATCTGGAAATGTCTCGAGTTATCTCCGATTTAGGTCACTGGTGCTTTTATTTACATCTTTCACCATTTTATCCTGGTGTGGTTCACTGCTGGTAAAGTCACGTGACAATGCTTATAGCAGACGAACAACCGTATGTAATCCCCAACATATAAATTATTAAAATCTTTTAACACTTGAGTTCTGGGACTGTAACATTTAAACTAAAAGTTGGGTACTTGTAAATGTATGAACCTAATTTGGTTGTTACAATTTATTCAATATGTTTTCTTTATAAGATAAAAAGAGATTTTATTCGAAAAACAATCCTGCATAATGTAGTATTGTACGCCGAGCTATGGTACAATTTCAGGCAAACCACTCTTGTTTATCCGGACTATCTATAGCTCCAGCCATGCACATCATTATGTGATAAGCAAATTTTACACAATGGCTATTTAAAACAATATCATCAGTCTTGAAAATGGACATATAACATTGAGGTTTGTTGACGTTGATTTGAATTTGCCATATCAAATATAATATTTTTACGCCGAGCGTTGGTCCACCCACTCTAGATCAATCTAATATGAAATTAGCATACATGTGACATCCCGGCGGGATTTAAAAAAAATCCCGATATTTCGACACTGATCCCGATTCCCGATATAACAGCTTGAATTCCCGATATTTAAAAATAAAATCAACATAAAAAAAATCAGACACAGCACCTATATCTAAAATGTAAACCGTGCCTCCGGGCATTGATTGTTATCTGTCCATATCCTAATTTATAGAGGATTAAATGTTGAGTCGCTAATTGACAGCAAGGTGACGTAATAAACAGTTCCAATACACAAAGTAATTCTCACATATTTAACTTATCACGTGTCGTGTGTCAGTCAATTGACCTCTTTTGTAATTTGGCAGTAGGTATTACACGCTACGTCATCAAAACTACCCAACCTTTGATTTTCTTTGATTAGTGCCGCACTGATAAAGATAAAAGGTGAACAGAATCATTTATAGTGGATCATTCAAAAACCTGTTCGAGATGTCTAATTAACCTATTTTTAGTGAGTGGGTAATTTTTTTGTTTTGTTTAGGAATTACACAATCACCGAGGCAAAAATGTGGATTTAATTAACGGAACGATTCTTGCATTTATTTTGAGTCTTCTACTTATGTTACGTAATTTAACTGTCAGAGTCTTATGTTCATGAATAGTTGTTGCACGTTTTCAAATAGCTTGTAGCCAATTATTGAATGACTGAAAAGACAGATATAATTTTTCAAACTGAAAATAATGAAATGTGAAAATGTGACTGTTTTAGAAATAGCCTGTATGACTACACTTATTTATCTATTTATTTATTTTTTGGTGAAATAAATTAATATTGATCAACAAAAAAATCATAAAAAGTATAATCATCTAATGATTTTGAGAGTAATATAGATTCTTTGAACCAAATGTGCCAAACACGCATTGAAATTCGAGTCGATGAAAAAATCCAGTTTTGAGCCTCAAAATCCAGCTGAAAATCCAGATTTGGCCCTTTTCATTTGTCACATGTATGAATTAGGCAAAGCCTATGCACGGGGACTTGTGAGAGGCTTAAAATGACCCCAGGTCGATCATAAGGTAACGTGTAACCAACGATGAAAAGCCTTTGACTCTATGATCTCAATCCCTTGAGAAGTTGCAGCACTTTGAAATAAATTTTGATGGAAAAAATCGAGGCAAAAAAGTGATTTTTGGCAATTTTGAGATGTCCCCTCATTGCCATGGTAACAGGAAATTTAAGACTGAGCATGTTGTTACAAAGGCAATGGTCCAGTCAACATTTGTGCCAAGTTTGATTAGTATTGAAGCATTTTTCATAGTTTCATAGCAGTTTGAACTTGTAAGAGGAGGCAAGTTTCAGTGAAAATGGCCATTTTTCAAAATATGCTCATGGGGGAAAGGGTTAATACAATTTGCTAATTAAAGACAGCAAGTGAAAAAACAAGTACCATGAGGCTGTCAGAGCTAGGAAGTTTCCAAAAAGGAATCACTTTATGATGAGCACTATGTTTTTACATGATAATAAATAAATATTTTAAGTCACTGTATATAGATTTATAATAACGTCGTGACATGACTGTATTGATCAGTTTTATTTTTGATAATCCAAAACTTACGAAACTCGAGTTTATAATTACGTCAATGTGACGTCAAACATCCTGTCTGCAACAATGGCTGAAAAAAGGGTCACACCAATATAAAATTCAACCAGCAACAATTACTTCCAATGTTTGGAAATACTTAAGATTTCAATTGAAAATGAGAACAATTGCATATATGTTTAATGTTTATCATGTTTAACATGTTTTCAGAACTAATGTTCATGTTTTAACAGATGCCTTGATACCAAAAGATTTGTGGTTCATTTTGTGAATCGATCATAACTGCTGAATCGCGGATTGGATCGAATCAGCACTTATCTGATGATGCACACCCCTATTCCCTGCCCTATTATGATTGCAATAGAAGTGCGCAGGAGACCAGTCTACACATTCATTTTTCAATCAGAATTCCTCGGCTTTTTTGTTATCTTGTAACTCGTAAAGTTGCAATTGATCAATAAACCCATAATTTTGCAGTACTTCCGGCGAAGGTTTTAAAAACCATCACTTATCTAGCAGGTACTCGTGTTACCATGATGCTCTTCGAGATCGCTATAATAAGCAGGCAGCAAATGATTATTTTATATTATAATGTCAACGCATTAACTCTCACATAAAATATGAAAAATGTTTATCTTGCTTTTCTAGTGAGCAGAAGTCACTGTCGGAGTACTACGACCTGGCTTGACAAGATGAGGATACGATTGGAACCAGCTCTTGAAGATAATTACATGTATCTACTGATTGATGATGAAACAAAACAGTGTGCAGTAGTGGACCCTGTGGAACCAGAAAAGGTTCTCTCTCTTTTCAGGATTAAAGTCTAAAGATTTAAATTTTATGTGGCCTTCAGTTTTAAGATAATAAAAGTGTTTTTATGGTTTACTTGCTTCAAAGACCATGTGTTTGCCAATTTCTTTGTATTGGCATTTATTGGCTGGTTTTACTGTGTTTATTGAAGTTAGAAGAATTCGAAATTTTTCGAAAGACAAGAAAGACTTTGTAGATATCATGTGATTGTATCTCTGGTGCGCTGAGGTATATATTTTATAACATTGGCGCAAGATAAGGATATTTGAATTTACCCAGTATGTTTAACCACGGATTTATGGATTTATATAAATCTGTGGTTTAACTTATACATTAATGAACTTATTATATACCCCAGTTAAGAGAAATGTGTAACCATATATTTATGATGACTGATACACCAGATAATCATATTTACTTTTTACAGACAATGTTGCTTGTAGGGTTGATACCACACACACATAATCTTCAATTACAGTTAAAAGCCAGGATGAATAATAGTAATTTGTAATACTAAGTATGGTTATGTTTGGATATGCCAAAATACAGGAGACTTTAATATGTTTATATATTCTTTTAAACAATGTTTGGTACAGAATTGCTCTACAAGATGTGACACATACACTACATATAAATCTTTACTCAATGTTGAACAATATTAATTTTATCTATGGATTCGCCATTTCTAGCGGGTTTCAGATGCTCAAACTGTAGGTTAAACATAGAAATTGGATGACACTAGTATTGAGAGAATCAGATAAAATAAGTCTCCACTACTTTATTAATAGTAACCATTTAGTCATTGAAAATGAATATCATCCTTTTTTATTTACCCCAAATTTGATAGTATAAGACAACAATATCTGTTTAATTGGTACATGTATAAGGGAAGACATGAAGAACAAGTCAGTTCTCATACTTAATGAAAATCCATCATCATCTTTAAGTAAAAAGTTTAGCATTGTATGTAACCAAACTTATGATAAATATTGATAAAAGTTGATAAAAGATTTTTTCCAGAAAAATACGTAAATGTAAACTAAAGCTTGTTTTTGATGCATTCATAGGTTTATTGTGTTGTATTTCATTCTCTGAGTTTGACTTAACATGTTGTACATTATCAGCTATGTGTACATAGCAACCATATGTACATATTTTTGATATTGTATTGTGTATTATTCTTTGTGACACAACCAGATGTCCATGTTTTTGATATTATATTGTGTATATGGGCCGATGACCGCGAATTAGGTTACAGTAAACTTAAAACTTGATAATTCCTTTCTGATAACAGATAAATGAAATTAAATTAATCTGAGCTAAATATTTTATGCATTAAATGACTAAAACCTTAAAAGTAACATTATGCATGTAATTTAACATAAGTGATGTGACATAACATATACATGTAAGAGTGAAATTTTTAAGCATTTTTAGCTCGACTTTTCTATGAAAAGGGGAGCAATCCTACTCGCCCCGGCGTCGGCGTCGGCGTCGGCGTTAGCGTTAGCGTTGGCGTCACACCTTGGTTAAGTTTTTCGTACCACCCCACTTTATTTCAGAAGTATTACAAGTATGGCTTTGAAACTTACCATACTTGTTCACCATCATAACCTCCATCTACAGACAAGAGTACATAACTCTGTCAAGGTTTTTGACAGAATTATGGCCCTTTTTTGACTTAGAAAGTGTATTGAGCTTGGTTAAGTTTTTTGTACCACCTCACTTTATTTCAAAACCATTGGAGGTATTGCTTTGAAACTGACCATACTTGTTTACCATCACGACCTTCATCAACAGACAAGAGGACATAACTCTGTCAAGGTTTTTGACAGAATTATGCCCCTTTTTGACTTAGAAAATACATTGAATATGGGTAAAATCCACTTATTGCCTTAACCCTTTGAGATATTGCTTTGAAACTTTTAATGCTATTTCACATCATTACCCCCATCTGTACGCAAGAGAAGGTAACTCTGTCAAGGATTTGTTTTAAAAATTAAGGCCTTTTATCGACTTAGAATCTTGGTTAAGTTTTTAGTACCAGTCCACTTTTTGACTGAACTGTTTGAGATATTAATTTGAAAGTTGGAATACTTGTTTACAATCATGATTCCCAAACATGTCCAGGAGAAGGTAATTCTGTCAAAGATTTTATTTGAATTATGGCCCTTAACTGTCAATGTTTTGTATTATAGGCAAGCACTAAAAAAGTCGAGCGCGCTGTCTTACGGACAGCTCTTGTTATTTTTACCTTGTCAGTTTTGAAAAAAAAAGTCAAGCTAGTTTGATTGCTGTGGCGTTGCCGTCATTGTTGTTGTCATTGGTGTAGTGCAAAAACTTTAATGTAGCCCATTATTCAAACATTTTAAAACTCATCAAGATGAAACTGGAAATCCTTGCTTATCATGACAAGGTGCAGTTATTACACTCTAGGGGCATAATTCTGAAAGCAATATATTTTGAGCTATTCTAACATAGAATTTTTAAGAGATGGGCATTTAACACATCATGTGATGCTCTAATGTTTATTTCAGATTCTGAAAGCAGTAAAAGAAGAGAATGTAAAATTAACATGTGTACTGACAACCCACCATCACTGGGATCACGCTGGTGGTAATGAAAAACTCATTGCTCAAACTGGTAAAATACCAGTGTACGGAGGTGATGACAGGATCGGAGCATTAACTGATAAAGTTTCCCATAACACAGAATTTAAGGTATAAATTGTTTTTTTTGAAAAGTTGTTTGAACATTGGAAGTAACACATTTATAATAACAGTATTACATTTTAGTTATAATAAAATAATAATAACAACTTTATTTAAAGAGACAACAGGATTATATCAATTTAATGTTTTGATGAGAGAGTACACTACTGCCAATATAGCATAAAACTGTCATAAAGGCATTCCAGCCCAGGGCCTGAATCATCCACTAATTTTACCTTCCTATTTGTGATACTGTAATAAGTGTAATACTGTAACAACTGATGAGATTTTTTATTGACATTTCTATAAATTTCATGTATTCCTATCCTGTAAGTTATATACAGAAGGTTAGTAGTTCTACAATTATGCCAGCCCTTGTCGGAAACTGAGAGATGAGATTTTGGTGTAGTGAAAGTTGCTTTGTAACTATGTTATAGTTTTCAGTTTTGTTTGATTGGGTTTTAAGTCGCACCAACACAGTATAGGTCATATGTCGACTTTTCAGTTTAACTGGTAGAGGAAGACCTCAGGTGTCCCTCTATGTGTTATTTCATCCACAAATGGGCATTGGAGTAGAACCACCAAAGTTTCATAAGCTAGCTGGGTAGTTTCCTCACATGAAATAATCCATTCGGGATTCGAACCCACAGCGGTGAGGGGCAAGTGATTTGAAGTCAACGACCTTAACCACTCGGCCCTGGTTGCCCCATATAGTTTTCAGTGTAACATTAAATCAATAGGAGAGAAATCTAGCTGCAATATGAGCAGGCAGTCTGTTAGTGTTATCATTGCTGCACTGAGACAATATCAACTTGTTTATGTTGTAAATATGAATGAGTTGATTTATTTTGTTATGTTGAATTTTTTATGATACACAAACAATATACAATGTACACTCTATACCTATATATAATTATATTATTATTTTTCATTGTCAGCTGGGGAACTTGAACATAAAATGTTTGTTTACACCGTGCCATACAGCGGGGCATATCTGTTACTATGTTACCGGAAATAAAGCAGACCCAGCTGTCTTCACAGGTAAATTTACCACCAAACCAGGTTATTGTACGATAAAATATTATAAAAAAACTTGTTTTGTAACAACATTTTTGCAAGTGTGAATTTACATTTTATAATCAATTACTCAAAACCACTTGCCCCTCACTGCTGTGGAATTGAATCCGGACATGGACTTTGGATTTTTTTATGTGAGGAAGCTATCTAGTTAGCTTTTGGGGTCCTACTCGGCTGCCAATTGTGCTTGAAATAATGCATGGACTGACATCTTCCTACACCAGTAAATCTGGAAAGTTGCCGTATGACCTATACTTTGTTGGTGCAACATTAATAATCAAAACAAACAATAAATAGTAAAATGCACAATTTATCAACAAAGGTTGAAATTTTTCTTCTTGATCATTTTTACCAGAAAGAAACACTAAACGTTACTTTTGATTGAATGTGGGTAATATCTACACAGGAATAAATGTTTATATTGAATATCATATTAAGTGTTTTTAATGAATAATGCATAAACTGTTTATATTGAATATTACATAAAGTGTTTATTCTGAATACACACATTTATAACACCCAGTTTTATTATATACATGTTCTATACATCAAATTAGCGTTTCACATTTGGGTCTCCATTTGTTAGTTGACTTACAAGTTGAGATATTATCCTATCATGAAATTTAAATACTTGCATGTAAGGAAGCTAGGTATTTAATTAATTTAAGGCTAATGGCCCTACTCAGGTAGTGAGCATTTATGTTGAAGTAATGCAGGGAGGTCACAGTGACCAAATGCCTGCTTAAGCTGAAAATTTTTAATCTTTACATGATAAGCTACAAGAAAAAATAAGAATAGAAATGTTTGACATACTGATGTACGTCATTTCTATTTTTGTTAAAGGTTAGGTATTTTTTACCAATAGTTAGCAGTTTATTTGTAAAGAGTATTTATGACATGTTAATGATTGTTATTTTTATGATAGGTGATACGTTATTTAGCGGAGGTTGTGGAAGATTTTTTGAAGGAACACCTCCACAGATGTATTCAGCGCTGATTGAAATTCTTTCTTCCTTGCCTGGTGAAACTGTAAGTCTATTATAGATCTACAAAATTGTTGTAGACTCATCGAAAAACTATTTCATAATTTATTTTTCTCTGTAATATAGACAGAAAACAGGGTTGACATTTGTAGTATTTCCCAAGATGGGAAGTTATGGGAAATTATTAAGTCAACCACAGTATCTGTTAGTCAACCTCAGTATCTGTTAGTCAACCTCAGTATCTGTTAGTCAACCTCAGTATCTGTTAGTCAACATCAGTATCTGTTAGTCAACTTCAGTATCTGTTAGTCAACTTCAGTATCTGTTAGTCAACATCAGTATCTGTTAGTCAACATCAGTATCTGTTAGTCAACCTCAGTATCTGTTAGTCAACATCAGTATCTGTTAGACAACTTCAGTATCTGTTAGTCAACATCAGTATCTGTTAGTCAACTTCAGTATCTGTTAGTCAACTTCAGTATCTGTTAGTCAACATCAGTATCTGTTAGTCAACATCAGTAACTGTTAGTCAACTTCAGTATCTGTTAGTCAACCTCAGTATCTGTTAGTCAACTTCAGTATCTGTTAGTCAACATCAGAGTCAACATCAGTATCTGTTAGTCAACTTCAGTATCTGTTAGTCAACATCAGTATCTGTTAGTCAACTTCAGTATCTGTTAGTCAACTTCAGTATCTGTTAGTCAACATCAGTATCTGTTAGTCAACTTCAGTATCTGTAAGGTGTACTATTTTATTTTAAGGATGTATAATTAAAGATGTAAGATAAAAATTGTAAGAATAGATATTTAGCTAGGTTTATATTGTTTGCTCCAAGTGTTCAAGTAGATGATGCAAGAGGAACCACTGGTTCTGTGACATTAGAGGACTTCATTGGCTGAGTGGTTAAGAAAGCTCACTTTGAATTGCTTGTCATTGCTTCTGTGGGTTTGAATTCCCTCGAGAACATTTTTTTATGTCCAGGTACAGAATTGTGTGAAAACATGCGTGTACTAAAGTTTAGTATTAAAGCAGCAGTGTTGTCTGCTTGTCATATGACATTTATACCACAGTGTTGCTTTGATCTAAAAAAAACAACAAAAAAACTCCAACAAATATGACTTAACAGGTATATTGCAGATATACTAGATTTTTTGTTTAATTCAGCAAATAGGAATAATCTAGCTGTAATGCATATTTTTTTAATATTTCAGCGAGTGTTTTGTGGGCATGAATACACTACTGCTAACCTGAAATTTGCTATACATACTGAACCAGCTAATGTTGATATACAGAATAAGATAAAATCAGCTCAGGTGAGAGACCAGATTACATATTAGATAAAATTCTTTTAAGGCCCATTATGTCAAAGAAATACTTTTAATGTTATTTCTAAAAACCTTTTTGTTGGTGCCTTTTTATAATTTCCAAAAAGATACTTATTGGCCTTTTTCAAATGTACCTGAACCGTCTTTGGTTCTGTTGCTTTTTAGCTCACCCGAGCTTAGGATCGACGATTGTCCGTCGTCCGTCCGTTCACATTTTGTTGTTAACACTCTAGCGGTCGCATTTTTGCCTCAATCATCATCAAACTTGGTCAGGATGCTTATCTAGTTGATAGCTCGGATGAGTTCGAACATGGGTCATCTCGGATGAAAAACTAGGTCACAAGAGCTAAAAATAGAAAAACCTTGTTAACACTCTAGAGGTCACATTTTTGCCTCAATAATCATCAAACTTGGTCAGTATGTTTGTCTAGGTGATAGCTCGGATGAGTTCGAACATGGGTCATCTCGGATGAAAAAGTAGGTCACCGGAGCTAAAAATAGAAAAACCTTGTTAACACTCAAGCGATCACATTTTGGCATCAATCATCATCAAACTTTGTCAGGATGCTTGTCTAGGTGATAGCTTGGATGAGTTCGAACATGGGTCATCTCGGATGAAAAACTAGGTCACAAGAGCTAAAAATAGAAAAACTTTGTTAACACACTAGCGGTCACATTTTTGCCTCAATCATCATCAAACTTGGTCAGGATGCTTGTCTAGGTGATAGCTTGCATGAGTTCGAACATGGGTCATCTCAGATGAAAAACTAGGTCACCGGAGCTAAAAATAGAAAAACCTTGTTAACACTCCAGCGGTCACATTTTTGCCTCAATCATCATCAAACTTGGTCAGGATGCTTATCTATTTGATAGCTCAGATGAGTTTGAATATTTGTCATCTCGGATGAAAAACTAGGTCACAAGAGCTAAAAATAGAAAAACCTTGTTAACACTCTAGCGGTCACAATTTTGCCTCAATCATCATCAAACTTGGTCAGGATGTTTGTCTAGTTGATAGCTTGGATGAGTTTGAACATTGGTCATCTCGGATGAAAAACTAGGTCACAGGAGCTAAAAATAGAAAAATCTTGTTAACACTCTAGTGGCTACTGTTTTGATCCAAATATCCTGTAAATTGGTCTGAAAGTTTGTTTTGATGATTTCTAAGTCAAGTTCGAACATGGGTCATCTTGGATGAAAAACTAGGTCACACCGCCCAAATATTGAAAAACCTTGTTAACATTCTAGTGGTCACATTTTCGACTCAATTATCATCAAACTTGGTCAGGATGCTTGTCTAGGTAATTGCTCGGACGAAATCGCATGTGAAACTAGGTCACCGGAGCTAAAAATAGAAAAATCTTGTTAACACTCTAGTTGCTACTGTTTTGATCCAAGTATCCTGGAAATTGGTCTGAAAGTTTGTTTTGATGATTTCTAGGTCAAGTTTGAATATGGGTCACCTGGGTAAAAAACTAGGTCACACTACTTAAATATGGATAATCCTTGTTAACACTGTAGTGGTCACATTTTTGACTCACCTGTCATGAGACTTGGTCAGAATGCTTGTCTAGGTAATTGTTTGGATGAGTTTGATGGGTCAGGTGAGCGATCTAGGGCCATCATGGCCCTCTTGTTTGGCAGTTAGTATAGTTATAGGGATTTTGTATGGAAGTCAAAGTACTACTTATTTTACATTTTTTTACCTTTATGACATACATTTTCATGTTCATTGCTACATTCTTCCAGTAATAAGCAGTTAACATATTTTTGAACCGTTATTTAAACATTATACTCATATATGCCCTTTCAAACGAAGGAAGTGCTATATAAGTGCTAGTTTACTATACAGCTTTGAGAAAAGTTGAGCGTGCATCTCCTCAAACAGCTTTAGTTTTAAACTGCTATGAATTGTTGTGTCATATTGAGTTTATATAAATTTATTTTACTTTGATTGTGTTGGAAGCTATAAGCTCATTGAAACAGTCTTGAATCCGTTCCTGGAACCAACCAATACTAAGCAATGAAAGCAGAGTTTCTTGCTCAAGAAAATAATTGTTTACCCCTGACAGGGTTGGAATCCACACAGTCAGCAAACTTTAGATTACTAGTCTGACCTGTCAACCACTCGGCCAAGCCAGTTAACTTTCATTATTATTTACTTGTCATATTTAAAAACCTCATTCTTGTTGTATCTTTAAAACTATTATGTAGAATGATTAAAAACTTAAGTCTGTTTTAATCATTATTGAGTCTGCTTCTTGGAGCTGACTAGTACTAGTGTCAAATTAGAGGTTTTTGTAATTTCAGTAGGACTTGTCCCTGAGAAACAGATATAGTAACCTATATAGAGGATATTTAAATTCTTTCTATAAATACAAGATTTATTTTCATTTGGTGGTATGAAAAATATTACATTAGTGGCTACCGCCATGATTGAAATATGATAATTTTCATACCAAAAGATAAAAATAAATCCTGTATTTATAAAAAAAACTCTGTTTTCTGTTTACTATATATTTTTTACAGTGAAAAAACAGAAAATGAAAATATACATTTTATTTCATCAATGTTTCACAATATTTCATTTATAAGTATATAATAATAAGATGTAAAAAAGTTGAAATTATTATAACATTGAAAAAAAAAAAGATATTTAAGTAAAGGTCAATTACTTTTATATTTTTATTATGCAGATTACAGTTAAGCTTATCAAACTGTTAGTTTTTTGATGTATCAGATCTTTATTATATTGTTTATTCAGAATCTGAGAGACAATAATCTACCAACTATACCGTCAACAATTGATGAGGAGAAGAAAATTAATCCTTTTATGAGAGTTCAGTAAGTACATGTACTGATACTCTTCTGATAAATTTGAGCCGCGTCATGACAAAACCAACATAATGGGTTTGCGACCAGCATGGATCCAGACCAGCCTGTGCATCCGTGCAGTCTGATCAGGATCCATGCTGTTTGCTTACAAACCCTATAACAAGTAGAGAAACTGATAGCGAACAGCATGGATCCTGATCAGACTGCGGGGATGCGCATGCAGGTCTGGATCCATGCTGGTCGCAAACCCATTATGTTGGTTTTGTTATGAAGCGACTCATTTATAGACAATGACAGAAGAACTTAAACACTGACCTAGACAAAACCCAATAAGTCTAGGAAACCATAACACTTTCAAAGCAAATGGTAACATGTTAATGTATGTTATCTTGTGTAAGTAGATAATTATGTTTCTTATAAGAAATTAAAAATTGTCATAATATTATATGTAACTAACTTTTACTAGAACCTTAAAATAGATATTTAGAAAATAATTGAAAAATCTTTGTCTATGTTAAAAATCTTTGTCTATGAATATACATGTACAAGACTTTGGGCTGATATGTTTTATTAATGATGCAAATATATTTAGCAAACATCCAGAAAAAAAAAAGAAGAAAATAATCAAACTATGATGATGGATGTTGTGTTGCCATTGTTGTGAAAAAACTTTTTTGTTGCCCATTATTCAAATAATTTTAAAGGTATCCAGGTATCACTTTGTCATAAGTACAGTATAATTTTTCTGAAACCAAATACTACCAAACTGTGACATTTAAACTTGTTAATTAACATTAACATAATTTTATCACTTTAATAGGAACAATAAAAAATGAGCATATTATCTGATACAAGTCATTGAACGCAAGTTTTTATTCAGTTAAAGGATTTAAAACGGTACATTGTATTTTTCTGAAAGAAATGTACAACATACAGTAACTTGATTATTTTGTTAAGACATGAATAATACAATGTTCTGTGGGGAACCCACTGTTAGCTTTATATATCTTTCAGCATCTCAACTCATATTTATCTACCTCTGGCATATTTTTCAATATATCAAGCCATTATATATCTAAGATAGTATCATATTCAAGTGGGCCACTACATATTATACATAGTAAATCATGACCTACACTGTGAGATCTAAATGGTTTTCAACAAGCATCTCAACTAATATTTATCTCTCTCTGGTATCTTCTTCAACATATCAGGCCATCATATCTTACATGGCATATAGTCAAGAGGGCCACTACAAATTATTATGGCCTTTAAGCCTTTAGGTCAGAATTTACCAACCCTTTTGTCACGTTTGATGCATAGACTTAGATTGACACTTGTTATGGAAAGAACTTTCAAAATTGTCTTTCAAATACAGTACAACTTTAACAATATGTTTTAATATGATACATTAGTGAATGCCTCTAGAATGGCCTTGTCACATCTCTGAAAGCCTGAATGGGGCTAAGAAGGATAAAGACTGTTGTTTTTTTATTCACACTAAGTTTATTTTGTTATGATTGATTACCAACATTTGATCAAACAATTATGTATTAATGGATTTAAAGCTGCACACCTCCAGATGAAGCAAATTATTTTAAGACAATCAAACTTGAAAAAAAAAGTTCTGAGATTTTAAGAAAAGTAAATAGATAAAAGTAATAATTTCCATGTTATTTGCAAAAAATAACTGATTTTGCTGTATTTTTTACTATATTTCTACTGCGTTACTAATACGGTAAGGGCTATTTTTGCATATTTTGACCTCATTTTGGTTATAAGTGCTGTTTGCAATGTGAAAATTATTTTTCTTTGTTCATTTCACAATATCCTACTTTTTAATACACTTTCAAAATGTTCATGAAAATTAGCATGAATCTGGAGGCGGGCTGCTTTAATGAATATCCACATACCGGTATTTGGATTTTCATACAATTATAAGTTATATATATACTTATGTATGCAAGTCAGATAATTTACAGTCCTATATGAACAAAACATGTATATGATAACAATGATTTAGTAACTATGTAAAGGGAGCACTGGCATTTTTTTCAAATAATACTAAGTCATTCTAGTACTATGTACAGTAACTATTTTTGATATCTAAGTTGAAATTCAAGTAACTATTTTACCAGTTCTATAGAATAAAATTATACTGTTATTTACAATCATCATTGTAAAAACAACCTTATCTAAATGCATGAAAAAACGTGTTTAAATACCAAATTACCAATGTTTAAATTATCAAAAAAAAGCAGAAAAAAATAAAAACATCTATTCCATAAACTGGTAATTTAACAAAGCAGTGGTCAGGTATTTGTTATGTAGCATGGTTGTAGGTGTGTAGATTGTCTAGTGGGCAAATTTCTATCAATCATGCCCATATAACAAAAAAAAACCTATTTCAATATTTGCTACTTAAACATTAAAGAGAAAAGGCTTCTTAAAATCTTCGACATTAAAAAGCCCTGTGTTTACTTATTAAGTATGTTACATGGTCTAGTAAGTTTCTATACAAAGAAATAAAGTTTATGGCCTTCGAGTCAAAAATTGCTTTTTTTTTATTTTTTCATTGTCTTTTCTATTCATTCAAGCCAGTGAAATAGTCCGGTCTTCTGTTAGAACACATTTTGATTGATCAATATTGATCCCAGTGTCAATATGTTATTTCATGTGAAATAACCTGACATAATAAGTTTATTTTATTCACTTAAGAAACATATGTTATGTAACTACCTGCAGATATATCACTTAGAATATTTTCTAAAGAAACACAGATATTTATCTTAAGTAATCCTTGAAGACATAATCCATTGACCATGTTGACAGACAGGAAGACAAAAAAGGCCACTCCTCTATAATCATAATTTTATGATAAGCATTTTATTTCAAATTACATGTCTTTATGTTTATAACTATTTGAAGCTGAAAGTTTTTTATACAAATACATGTACAATACGTGTCCATACTAATTAACTAATATTCCTTACCTTTCAGATGTGAAAGTGTTAAGAAACATTGTGGATGTACTGACCCAATTGAAGTGATGGGGTACTTAAGGAAAGAAAAAGATACCTTCAAACCAACTTGACTGTCAGATGAATTATGAATTTTTTAATTCACCTTGTCAATTACAATAAAGATAACTGCGACTTGATGATTATAAAAGTACTGTTACTTATTTGTATCATTAGAAAAGCTTTATCGGGATGCTTACATATTTTATGTACATAAATATTTTTACTGAGAATTCTGTTTTTAAAAGAGTTATTATTTACCCCACCCATCTTAAGGCAAAAAACTTAATGAGGATTCATCCATCTGAGAGTACAGACCCTGGATGTGTTTCAAAGCTATTTATACATGTAGTTCACCTCTAGCAAACGCTAAATAACTTTTCTTTCTGAACAAGGTTTTTTATTAAAGTTTGAATGAACTGAAATATTTTATTCTATCATATGATTAACTGTGTATGAAACTTATCACCTTATTGATATGAATTTTACTATAAAAATATCACCCCTCCCTTTCAGGCCCCTTGTCACACATGCACCTTACACTGAAAACAATGAAGGAAGAAACAACATGACAGTCTATTCTGCTATATTGTCACATTCTGACATATGATAGATGAAAATGTTAAAGATCCTGTATGTTGTAATTAAGGATGAAACAACACTTAAGTGAAATTTTAAATCTGTTTATGATTATTCTTCTAAAATAATTTCCAAACATCCAAGAATATGTTAAATATGTTCTACAAACATTTATTCGCATAAATGATTAATTATATGTAATTATTAAAATGTTTGCATTAATTTCTTATTGTTAAATTTAGGCTAAACTTTATCGAAAATAAATTTCTAATTACCTCCCTTTATTTACATGAAATGTAAATTCGGTAATATCTTTATAAATAAGGCTTTTTTGAACTTACAATAATGATAAATCTTAATTTGAGTATGCTATTTTTGATATAAAACCGTAAAAAATTGTGTTACAGGATCTTTTACATGGTGAACATATTAACGTGTAAAAATGATATGTCATTTAAAATTATGTGATGAAATAACAGCATGATATAAGTTTGTGTATATATATATAACATGTAACTGAGTTCAGTTTCTGTATTTTCCAGTGCTGATTATTGGCTTTTACATAAACAGAATTTTCTTGCAAGAACTTTAGCTCCATTCCTATGTTATTTTCATTGTACAATTTTTTATATATACATGAAAAAATCTATCCATTGAAAATAAATAGCTGTAAATCATGATTGTTGTTATAGATAGATAGATAGATAGATATATTTATTTTGGCAAAAGGTACATGTTACATGATAAACAAACACAATATAGATTAAAACAATTACAAATAAATAAATAAATACTATATTATGTAAACCATGACATGTTCCCAAAACCAAGGATAACACAAAAAAGAGCAAGCTCTTGTTTCCATTGTGGTCCTTAGCATTTGGTGGCATGACAAAGAGAGGTATTTCATAAAAGAAAATAAAAATTTACTTATTATAAGAAAAATCACATTAATGAAAGATATCATTTAAAATTATCACAATTTAAAACGTAAAGTAATGTAATTCATTAAAAAGTCAGTATCACATCATTAAGAAATAATCATGTGCATATTAAGAAAAGATTACATTAAAAAATTATCACAGTATACAGGATTATTGCGATTTATTATCACAGGGACTACTTAAAAGTAATTTGTTGGCAACCTTAAAACGATGAAATTTGTTAATTTCAATCATACAAGTTGGAAGACTGTTCCAGAGTTTAGCACCAATAAAACTTAAAGACTGACCCAAAACCTTTAACCTTAGGAAGACAATACCCTCTCTTTTTACTCAGTCTGGTGCAATAAGAATGCATAGATTTCTGAGAAACAAAACAATCACTTAAGTACTTTGGGGCCATTTGGTTTTTAACCTTAAAAACATGACATAACATAATTTGTTCAACTCTCTTACAAACTGGTAGCCAATAAAGGAATTTAAAATGGGAAGGGCCAATATGAACTCTGTAATCAAGGTTTAGAACAAATCTCATCATTTTATTTTGTGTTGTCTGTAATTTATTTTGCAAGACCGGAGTTAAACCATAACCAGACACAGCAGGCATAGTCAAAGTGGCACTGAATTAATGAATTGACAAGCAGTTTTTTGGAATGCTGTGTAAGGAAATCTTTCTTACGGTAAAGGAACTTAACCTGGCGTTAGCCTTCTGAATAACTGAGTCTGCCATAGAACCAAAGGACAGGTACTGATCAATAGTTACCCCAAGGTATCTGATGGATGTTGACGCTTCTATTGCAGTGCCTTACAATTTATATTTAATTTGGAATGTGACCTGAGTTTTTGTTTAGACATATAAACAATGGACTCAGTTTTACCCAAGTGCAATGATAACTTATTATCAATTGACCATTGATTTACTGAAGACACAATACACATATATATATTTTAAGAAATGTCCATACATTTTCAAATAAAATGTTAGATACATATTTTTTTGTTAATTGTGTTGATGAGTTATCTACAAATATATTTTTGTAAAAAAAAGTTTATTATACACGGGCACACATGTAAATGATGTATGAGTTCAGAGCATCGCAAAGATGCGTCTCTGTCAGCTAGAGATATATATTACACAGGCTATGTGCTTACACATAAAATTCATTAAGGGAAACACATGTGATAGACAACACAAAAAACATGAAAAATAACAGACAACTCACATAAAGCAATGAAATAACAAAAGAGAAAACATCAAACGTGTGTCTGTAAGGTCAAATCACTGCATTGATCAAATACATACTTCTATGAAAATCTAAGGCACAATTTTGTATGATAAGAAACATAATGTGTTATCGAGGCAGCAAGTTTCTATGTGTGTTATTAGATGCAGCAAGTTTCTATACATGTGTTATAAGATGCAGCAAGTTTCTATGTGTGTTATTAGAGGCAGCACGTTTCTATGTGTGTTATTCGAGGCAGCAAGTTTCTACGTGTGTTATTAGAGGCAGCAAGTTTCTATGTGTGTTATTCGAGGCAGCACGTTTCTATGTGTGTTTTTAGAGGTAGCAAGTTTCTATGTGTGTTATTAGAGGTAGCAAGTTTCTATGTGTGTTATTCAAGACAGCAAGTTTCTATGTGTGTTATTAGAGGCAGCACGTTTCTATGTGTGTTATTAGAGGCAGCAAGTTTCTATGTGTGTTATTCGAAGCAGCACGTTTCTATGTGTGTTATTAGAGGCAGCAAGTTTCTACGTGTGTTATTAGAGGCAGCAAGTTTCTATGTGTGTTATTCGAGGCAGCAAGTTTCTATGTGTGTTATTAGAGGCAGCAAGTTTCTATGTGTGTTATTCGAGGCAGCAAGTTTCTATGTGTGTTATTAGAGGCAGCAAGTTTCTATGTGTGTTATTAGAGGCAGCACGTTTCTATGTGTGTTATTCGAGGCAGCAAGTTTCTACGTGTGTTATTAGAGGCAGCAAGTTTCTACGTGTGTTATTCGAGGCAGCAAGTTTCTACGTGTGTTATTAGAGGCAGCAAATTTCTACGTGTGTTATTAGAGGCAGCAAGTTTCTATGTGTGTTATTAGAGGCAGCACGTTTCTTTGTGTGTTATTAGAGGCAGCAAGTTTCTACGTGTGTTATTAGAGGCAGCAAGTTTCTATGTGTGTTATTAGAGGCAGCAAGTTTCTACGTGTGTTATTAGAGGCAGCAAGTTTCTATGTGTGTTATTAGAGGCAGCAAGTTTCTACGTGTGTTATTAGAGGCAGCAAGTTTCTATGTGTGTTATTCAAGGCAGCAAGTTTCTACGTGTGTTATTAGAGGCAGCAAGTTTCTATGTGTGTTATTCGAGGCAGCAAGTTTCTATGTGTGTTATTAGAGGCAGCAAGTTTCTATGTGTGTTATTAGAGGCTGCAAGTTTCTATGATTACGATCGTTTAACCATTTTCTGTATCTGTGTTGTATCTATCCCAACAAAACTTGCTGTGTCAAGTAGACTCCTTGTTGTACAATTTCCTGGATGCTGCTGTCTCCATTGTCCTAACAAGGTCATAATGATTGATTTCATGTCGTTTTGGTTATTTGCTCTAACAATTTCTATGTCTCTGAAACACAAGCCAAGTTCCAACATCAAGAATGGATATAGTGCACCAACACTATCAGCTGCAGCTATAATATCACAATTGTTCTCTGGAATGACGTCTAACTTCTCGTCAGGAACATCTATAAGTTAAGATAATATTAAAACTATTTTTGTTTATTTTTTGAGCACAAGACCTGAAAAAATTAGGTAATGCATCATTTGAAACACCCAACTAATTATTCATCTGAATTTAATGATGTACCGTACATGTGACTTCTGATGTAAACAAAGACATAGGGCGTTGCCTTTGTGTAGCGAATGTATTAATTTGACATCCATAGGAAAAGCGAAGTAATATCATGATTTTATGATTGAAAAAAGACGTCTGACAATCAGAATCTAATTAAAAATACCCAATGACAACCAAATTGATATATTGTCAACTGGTATACATTCTGTACCTTGGTGTCTAAAACATAATTAATAGTATATAAATAAATACTGCACTTTTTACTTCAATATTCATAGATTTATTTTGAGTCACTTTTTAGCTCGACTATTCGATTAGAATAAGTAGAGCTATTGTAGTCACCTGAGCGTCGGCGTAACCACTTATGTTAAAGTTTTTGTAATATCTCAAATATTTTCAAAGTCCATTGACATATGGCTTTGAAACTTTGCACACTTGTTCACCATCATGACCCCAACCTGTAGACAGGAGGAGGTAACTCTATCAAGCATTTTGACAGAATTTTGCACCTTTTTCGACTTAGAATTTACATTGAAGTTTTTGTAATACCTCAAATATTTTCAAAGTCCATTGACATATGGCTTTGAAACTTTGCACACTTGTTCACCATCATGATCGCAACCTGTAGACAGGAGGAGGTAACTCTATCAAGCATTTTGACATAATTATGCCCCTTTTTCGACTTAGAATTTAAGTTAAAGTTTTTGTAATACCTGAAATATTTTCAAAGTTCATTGCCATGAGGCTTTGAAACATGTTGAAATTTTATACTCTTCTTTGAGAGCATAATAGGACTTTCTCCAATGCCTATAACTGTAATATGGATTTAAAGAAAAATTTTGCCTTTCTCTTTATTGAGAAAATTTTACCTTTTAATCAAGGCTTTTTTTATTATCAAGCACTAAGAATAGTCGAGCGTTGCTGTCCTACCGACAGCTCTTGTTACACATACGGTATATACTGAAGTCAACAAATCTCTATTGCGACTTCTAGGCCCTCTACCTCAAACCCCGGATGCCGTTCTATGTAATCATATTACTGTGTTCGAGGTCAAAATACAAAATCAAAATACAGGTTTAATACATAGAAATAAATCCGAAATCTTATGCCTCTATGTAGTATCGTTTTTTTCTCCAAAATTTACGCCCGTGCAGGAGAAAATACGCCTTAGACACTTTCTAATATTATAGAATAAATTATGCCTGAAATAGTATTTTCCCAAGAAAATCTTGGACTAGTGCGAGACTAAAAATGGCTTAAGGTCGATCTTAATGTAACTTGTAATTATTAACCAACGCTGAAAAACGTTTCACTCTATCTCAATCTATTGAGAAGTTGCAGCGATATGAAATCAGTTTTAATGGAAAAATCAACGCAAAATAGTGATTTCCCGGGTGTAGATTTTCCAAGGTTTTTGGCTCAAAATCCTTGGAAAAAAACCTCGGAGTATTGGAACAAGAAAATGCAAAACTTTGCTATTAAAAAAACCTTGGAAAAATAGGGAGAGGGTGAAAAACCTTGTAAAAAATTTCCGAGTTTTTTTTAAAAAAAAACCTCGTAAAAAGTATGACCTCGGAGTATTGGAACGATTTCCAAGGATTTCAGAATAAAAACCTCGTAAAATAATTTCCGAGGATTTTGTTTAGAAAACCTTGGAAAATGAGTGACCTCGGAGTATTGGAACGATTTCCAAGGATTTTTAAAGTGTTTCCGTGGTTTGTTTTCCAAGGTTTTTAAATGAAAACCTCGGAAAGTTTATCACAACTGGGAATACTGTTATATTTTCGAGGATTCTTACTTAAGGGCATCAGAGAATTTTCCAAGGTTTATTTGAGCAAAAACCTTGGAAATTTCTAGAATATCCATGGAAAATCAGAAAATATAACATCCAATGAAATATTCTGAAAAGAGCAATTATATTGTCCTTTTAAGGAATTAAGAAACTTCTTTGTAATAATACAGAGCAAAAAATGATCACATGACTCACTTAAACATTTAATGTCAGTGTGAAGTAAATAGTAATGCACTACAAATGAAAAGTTAAGTTAGAAGTCTTTAATGGTAAATGTTACACTCAATGTTCAGTTATAATTTTTTGGTATCCGGTTAATTTTAATGTATTCAAATATCTATCTTTTGAATTCCTGTTCACTCTTCATGATTTTGAAATGTCCCTTAGTTTTTCCCTCACCATCACAGGGGTCACATGTGGAAAATGCTCCAGGATACAATTCCTGAAATAAATAAAGTAAATATTTAATAAAGTACAGCCATTGAAAGAAGTTAGAAAAACAATTATATAAAATCACCACTTGGCGCTTCCCTCTCCATTGGGCGCTTCCCTCTCCATGTGGTCAGGATCAAAGACTTCAAACTACTTGCCTTACAACATTGTATTTTTGACTCCTGAAGCCAGGATGGGCTTCTTCCCTCTGAGGGAGCTATCCAGTCCAGGATTAAGGAACACCTGTGGTTATACTCAGGACAGTTCAGTATGTGTAGGCAATCAGAATTACATCATTTAATTTCTTTTTTATTAATCAATAAAAAAAATGATACATTCCTTAAACGTTTCCATAGACAAAAATATCAGTTCACTGTTGATATATATTGTTTTAAAAAATCAGCACTTATGTGAAAAGAAATACATCTTTTGAGTGATCCAAAACTACTTGAATTACAAGTTGTTCAAGACCATTGATTAAATTGAAGGCTTTAATATTTTCAAATGACCTTTTCTGTAGTTACTTTTAAATGTTTGTCTACTGTTTTGAAATAGTGAATTTAATTTTTTTCATGTTGATTTCTTATTTTTCTTCATCAGTACTAAGTGTCAGGATTTCAAGAAAACTTTGGTAAGCAGTGTGACAATTCTGCGCTGTTTAGAAAAGAAACGATGTCTGTTACTATTATTTTAGATTATGTCATACTGGATGTTACAACCTAGTATAAAGCACTCTAACAATATTGCAAAAAATAATGCTTTTCATAAGGTGATTCCGATTGCCTACACTAATTGTATCTGTCTGCTCAAAGTGACATCTGCAGAGTCATCATGTAACATTAACAGCATTTCCAAGAAAGTATCAATAAAAAAATCAGTTCCAGAAACCTTCATTCATTCAAATTTCAAATTGAAACTTTCAAAACCTAGTTTTAAAACAAAAACATACTGTAGTATATTCCTTGAAGCCTTTCCTGGTCTACAGTTGGCTTCCTTAATCGATGCCTGGATGCCAATGATATACTATGATAAAACACAGCAAAGCTGGATTGCCATCTTCTTGTAGTTTGGAACAGTCTTGCAAACTTGCTTACAAGCTGACTCTGTAATTAAAAATTTGTAGATTCAAATAATAGATGAAAGATGAAAGTTTATAAATAATGTCATCATAGTTTCATGCACTCATCTTGTTCAATACAATCATAGACAAAAATAACATTAATACTCATAAAATATCCTCTAAACAATTGTATTTAAACTAGCTTACATTTAGGTTAAAAATATAGATCTAAAATAGTTTGTATTTAATACTTATTTGAAAAAAAAACAACAACAGATTTTATGCATAAATGTATCTAAAATTATTTACCTGAACCTTTTTACTATCATGTTTCTTTTGTTTATCTTCCTGTCCCAGGTCATTGATCTTTAGGTTCAATTACAACAACCAAACATTTCCTGAATCTTGTCACACTTAGATAAATGTTTTCTTTGAAAATTCCAAAATATGCTCCCTAACATTTAAAACAAGATATGTCCAAAATTGCTTAAATTAAATCCAGGTTTGCACTACTTCCAACTATAACCACTTGACCCATTAATGTCTGAGATTCAAATTTTTCAACAGTATAACTGAAGGGGCAATCATAATGTGAAACAGGGGTGATCCCAAAATATCAAAGCCATCATCATTTTATTTTTACACTAATTTTATTGAAGGTACAAATATATCAAATGATAAATAAAAGTAAAACTTGAAAATTATAAGAGAATCACAGTTGCAGTGTCATTTTAGACTGTTTTGGATTGTATAAAAACCCAGACTCCCCCTGAATAATCACATGGAACAATCTGGTCTATCCCAGAATGCTCAATGAGAAGATTGATCATGCATAGATTATAAGAGGGAACCACCTGGGGTGCCATTAGTTTTATCTGATCAGTGTGTTATATTCTGTGTGTGAAAACTTAGTGGATGCAGTATTTATTTATCTTAATTATAAGAAAGTATCAAGCATACATATTTTACACATTAATTGTACATAATTATATATTAAAAGGACAATTAATAACTATTTATGTTTATTGTACACATAATTAATGGCAGAGTAAATTGTAATCTGAATGTATGTCACAGACTTGCTTAGTAGAATATACTATTTTATATGGCATAAAAACATATATTAAAGATTAATAGCATTCTTATTTCAGTGTTGCTTACAGGCTGTCAAGAAACCCTAAGTTAAGTCTATATATAGAAAGAAACTGCAGGAAAAATACTGATGCATTTAGAAACTAAGAGACATAAACACTGATTGTTTCTTTTTGTATAATTATAAGTTTTGCTCTTTTATCTATTCTTAAAAATGGAGAAGATATCTAGTAACAATAATTATAAATAATAAAAAAAAAAATATGAATATAAAAAAAAATTTTTTTAAGTCTTCCTGATCATCAGTTATTTGAAAAGGTATTTTATGGCAACAAGGAATTTACATTGTATTTAACTTTTCCATGTTTTCACACTTAAATTTTTTTAATTGATTCCTCCCACAAAAATGGCTTCAGAAGATTAAAGTACAAATTTATTGAAAAGGAAGTTGGCCATTGACAATGTCCATACTAAAAATTGATTCCCTGGACCAAATCTCTCCTTTCCATGCTGTTGGACTGTTTGCTCTGACCATGGATTAAGAAATATCCATTGGCAATCTACAGTTGGGTTGTTATCTTAGTTTGCTTTACTGTTGATTATTGCTTTTGATGCCCATTATAAGTTAAATCATGATTATGTCTTAACATTTTCCGAGATGAAATTTAGTTAAGTTCAATTATCCGAGGTAATTTCCAAGCTAAATATTGGCAAAGTGTTTCCAACAAATTTTACGTAAATTTTTTAAGTTCTTTTCCGAGCAAAAAAATGACAAAGTTCTTATTTCCAAGCTTTTTCCGAGCTGATTTCCTGTACGAAATTTTCTGCACGGAAATGGGGCGGAATTCAAAGGCAGATTCCGCCCAGAAATTTAAATTCTCCCCCGAATATACAAGTGTTAAACCATTTGCTTTTGGCACGGATTCCGGCCGGATTCCAGGCGGAAATGGAACGGATTCTGGGCGGAATTGGGACGAAATATGCAAATGAGTTGGGGCGGAATTTTGAAGCGGAATCTTGGGGCGGAATTTTGAAGCGGAATCTTGGGGCGGAACCTTGGGGCGGAATTTCAGAGCGGAATTGTCAAACAAGATTCTGGGCGGAATTCTGTGACAGAATTCAGGGGGCGGAATTTTATGAGTTTATCATGATCACATATTTTGGGATAAAATTATCAATAATGTATCACATTAAATTTTCTTTCACAAAATTTAATAAAAAAAATATCATATCCTTAAGTCCAAATACAGAATAGAATACCCTACATTCACTATAACACAAACAGTTTTTTTCTAGCTGCAGGTTTTGGAATCTTAGAATCCAACACTTTGTTGTTGTTTTTTTTTTCAATTATTTTGCTGGAAGTGTTTCAATCATAAATTTGTTTCAAATGTTTCTTATTATTTAAATTACTATTTCTTTAATCCATGTCTGTTTTAAGTCCACTGCCTGTGTTTCCTAGAACTTCTTGTGGTTGTGCTCACCTTTAATAATAAAATTCATAATTAAACAAATATTTTGTAATGAATTGAGCCATGTCATGACAAAACCAACATAATGGGTTTGCGACCAGCATGGATCCAGACCAGCCTGCGCATCCGCGCGGTCTCATCAGGATCCATGCTGTTCGCTTACAATCCCTATTACAAGTAGAGAAACTGATAGCGAACAGCATGGATCCTGATCAGACTGCGCTGAGGCGCAGGCTGGTCTGGATCCATGCTGGTCGCAAACCCATTATGTTGGTTTTGTCATGACACGGCTCAATTATGTTTTATTGCATAATTATATGCAGTTATATTTTATATTTTTTAATAATATCAAATTTTATGTTTCAACAGTATTAAATATTAACTATGCTTATAAAGCATATTCAAAAATAGTGAAGCAACACATTAATCAGTTATTCAAGTGTACAAGTGTTTAAGAATTGCTCTGTATAAGAATTAACTGACTGCTTTATGTGTGACACTATTTAATACTGGTTATGTATTTTTCAAGGAAAGATGTTGAATAGTTAAGTATAGAGATTTAAAAATATACCTTTTCAGGATTAATACTGCACATCATTATTAAACACCTGGCATCTCACAGTCAGCACTTAAGTCCCTGAGCAGCCTGCAAATTATGAGTGTAAAATGTAATTTTAGATTGTTCCATAGGAAAGACAACACAAACATGTAAAATAATAAATGATTATGATGACCCTGTTCAACTGTACAAAACTACTGATTGTACCATTTAGTCCTATTTAATCAAATTTATTTAATTTGTTTAATTTCCAGGAAATGCAAAAGATATACTTACATGCTATTTATACAATATAGATTTACACAACCATTATATTAACAAAAAAATCATTGAATAATTTTAACTTGCAAATTATACATGTATTAAAGATTTAAAACAATTATCAGAAAAAAAAAACAAATGTATGAAGTTGAAAATACTAAAACAACAATGACCTCTTGTTACAAATTTTAGTTGGCTACTTAGTATTGATAGTCGTCATATAAAATTAATGTAACTAAAAGTTAATAATTACCTGATTATGTTTTACATCTTCTTGTCCCATGTTATCATACCAATTACTTTAACACTTTGAGATCTTAAACAAAACTTTACTCCAAAATTGTTAAAATATCAAGTACATCCTCCACTCTTTTTGCTGACCCAGATATCTTAGAATTCAAAATTCACAACAGTTTACTGTATAATGGACCGGTCCATCATTATGTAAAACAGGGTTAATTTACTCATCATCTTAACTTTCATTCATTGAATGTAAAAGAAAAATCAAATAACAAATAGATATATATAAATTTTAAAAAACAATTACAAATTTTTGTACAAAAAAATTGCAATATGTCCTACTACAACAAATTCTACATATGCAATTTATAATGTTATCTCTCCCCAAAATAATTACATGGAACAGCCTGATCTGTTGGAATGACCAGTCATGCATAGATGATGGAAAACTGCTGGTCAGTAGAGTTTTATCAGAGCTCTGATCTGTGTAGTGTAAAATCTGTGTGAATATAATCTCAGTGAGATTTATTATTATATACATTGTAGTATTTATTTACCTACCGTAAATAAAAGCAATTATTGGGCATATTGGTTGATCAATTTTATATAGATTAAAAGGGCATTATATATGAGATTATTTCATGCACTGTTTTGTTTTGTTTATATTTTTTAAAACAAAACCATGAATTCTTAGAATTTAAAATGGCAAGCACACTTATAATCTTGTCCCTATGTGACTGCCCTATATTCTATAGTATATTCAAATTTAAAAAGCATTCTTATTTTAATGTTGCTTTTAGATGATGTCCTAAAATCATATTTAAAATTCATAATACAGTAAATGTATTATAATACAAGCTGTATGAAAAATCTTTATATTATAAACTTAAGCATTTTGGAGGTGAATGTTTTCAAATTCTACACTAAGATTATTACAGTTTTTCAGTACAAAAAATATAAATTAGTCTGACAATATATTATTAATGCCACATTTTTTATCTAAAAAGAAGGCCTTTTTTAATGTCTAAAAAAATAATATATTAATTCTAAAAATACACCTGTAATTATTGGTTCAGCAAAAACAATAAGTACAGTAGGTAAAATTTCAATGTCTAAGTGCAAAAACAGGAGTACAATTATGATTTGGACATCTTATATGTGAAATTCTGTTCAAGAAAAATGTTTAAGTATAGAATTCCGCCCGTAGTGAAGACTATTCCTACCCAAAAAAATTTCAAAGTTGAAAATTCTGTCCAAGATGAAATGTTTAAGTATAAATTCTGCTCAAAATAAAATTCCAGCCGGAATTCTTCTAGTTTTCCGCCCAGAAAAGTGAACAAAATATTTTTCTTGTGAGACAGAATGGCACGGATTTTGCGTTTCCGTCCCTGGTCCGCCCAGAAATCACTGATTCCGTGCCAATTCCGTGCCAATTCCGCCCAGAATCCGTGCCAAAATTTCGTACAGGTTTTGGCAGTGTTTAATTCCGAGATAGTTTGCAAGGTTTTCTTTATTTCCAAGGATTTTTATACAAAAACCTTGGATAAAGTTTCCAAGGTTTTAAAAAAAAAACTCGGAATAAAGAAAAAACCTTGTAAAACTGGTTTATTTCCAAGGTTTTTGAAGCAGTTTCCATGGTTTTTTTCATAAACCTCGGAAAATCTACACCCGGGTTTGTCAATTTTGAGATATCCCCCGTTGCCATGGAAACATGAAATTTAAGATTGAGCATACTGTTACGAATGCGAAGATCCAGTCATTTTTTGTGCCAAGTTTAAACAGTTTTAAAGCATTTTTTTTTATAGTTTCATAGAAGTTTGTGATTGCACCATTTCCAAGCTTACTCAGACCTCGATGCCTTTGAATTCAAACTTTACAACTTTATAACTGGACATGTCCATCATAATTCTAAACGGATAAACAATTGCACCCATCATTTAATGTTTACATTCATTGAATGTATAAACTACGTCTTATACCTAAATAGATAATGTATAATTTAAATATGTACTATAAGTTTTTGAAAGATAATTCGGCATGTAGTCTTAAGGTAAAATGTATAATGATGCCTCTCCTAAAATAATTAAATGGAACAGTCTGGTCAACATAAGTAAATTAACCGGCATGCATAGATAAGAGGGTAAAAGACAGATGTTGACCATTAGTTCTATCACTTTTAGATATGTGTGTTGTATGCCTGTGGTGTAAAAATCTCATACACAGCTATTGCTTCATTATCTTGTAGGCTGAACTATTTTGTATGTATATTCAAACTTAAATAAATAGAATTTAGATATTATTGTTAACAAGTTTGCTGCATGTTTTTTAGCTCACCTGTCACAAAGTGACAGGGTGAGCTTTTGTGATTGCTTTTCGTCCGGCGTCCGTCCGTCGTCCGTCCGTAAACTTTTACTTTAAATGACATCTCCTCATAAACCACTAAGCCAATTTCATCCAAACTTCACAGGAATGTTCCTTTGGTGGTCACCTTTAAAAATTGTTCAAAGAATTTAATTCCATGCAGAACTCTGGTTGCCATGGCAACCGAAAGAAAAAAATTTAAATATCTTCTTTTAAAAAACCATAAGAGCTAGAGCTTAGATATTTGGCATGAAACATATTCTAGTAAGTGTCTACCAAGTTTGTTCAAATAAAAGCCCTGGGGTCAAAATTGGCCCCGCCCCGGGGGGTCATTGATTTTCCCTATATGCATATAGTAAAAACTTAAAAAATATTCTTTAAAAGAACCCAATGAGCTAGAGCTAAGATATTTAGCATGAAACATGTTCTAATGGGTGTCTACCAAGTTTGTTCAAATAAAAGCCATGGGGTCAAAATTGGCCCCGCCCCGGGGGGTCATTGATTTTCCCTATATGCATATAGTAAAAACTTAAACAATCTTCTTTTAAAGAACTCAAAGAGCTATGGCTAAGATATTAAGCATCAAACATGTTCAAATAGGTGTCTACCAAGTTTGTTCAAATAAAAGCCCTTGGGTCAAAATTGGCCCCGCCCAAGGGGGTCATTGATTTTCCCTATATGCATATAGTAAAAACTTAAAAATATTCTTTTAATGAACCCAAATAGCTAAAGCTAAGATATTTAGCATGAAACATGTTCTAATGAGTGTCTACCAAGTTTGTTCAAATAAAAGCCCTAGGGTCAAAATTGGCCCCGCCCCGGGGGTCATTGATTTTCCCTATATGCATATAGTGAAAACTTATAAAAGCT